GGGAGAGGCTTCTGCCACCGCCACAGAGCTTGCAGCCCTTAGCCTGGCTTGTGGCTGAGTGGAGCTCCCCCTGTGGGAGCTCACTGACCACCAGGAGGCAGCTCCTGCATTGAGCATCTGCCCCCTCGTGGTCAGTACATGTCATAGTGAACGGTTGGTCCCAGTCGTTCCCCCGTTAGGGTCAATTTGCATATTACCCTTTTATTATATAGGATAAATCTCTTTTTAAAAATTTAAGACAACTCAATAAATGAGGACAAGATTTGAACAGACACTTCACAAAAGAACATGAAAAGATGTTCTACACCATTAGTTATCACAAAAATGCAAATTAAAACTATAACCATTACACACTCATTCAAATGGTTATTAATTAAAAAAAAAACTGACAATACTAGCCCTGGCCAGTGTGGCTCATTTGCTTGGGCATAGACCCATGCAACGAAAGGTTGCTAGTTTGATTCCCGGTCAGGGCACAGGTCCAGGTTGCAGGCTCGATTCCTGGTAGGGTGCATGCAGGAGGCAACTGACCAATGTTCGTTCGCATCAATGTTTCTCTCTCTCTCTCTCTCCCTAAAAATCATTTAAAAATCTTAAAAACACACACACACAAAACTGACAATACTAAGTGCTATCAAGGATGTGGAAAAGTGGGACTCTCATACATTGTTAGTGGAAATGTAAAGTGGCATACATTTGCAAACTTCCAAAATGCCACTTTGGAAAATAGCTTAGTACTTCTTTTAAATTTAAACATACATTTATCATAGAAATTTCAGTTATAGGTATTTACCCAAGAAAAATGAAACAATATATACATACAAAATCCTGCATGGGAATGTTTTCAGTATCACCAAAAGCTGGAAACATCCCAAATGTCCTTAAATTGATGAGTGAATGAACAAATTGGTTCATCCACACAATGGAATACTACCTAACAATAAAAAAGAACTTAGTACTAACACATGCAATAACATGGATGAATCTTAAATGAAGTAAAAAGAGCCAAAGGCAAAATTCTACATACTGTATGATTTAATTTATATGACATTCGTAAGACAATAAAACTACAGGGACAGAAATGAGATGAATAGTTGCGAGGGGTGATTCTAAGGGACACAATTTTGGGGAAATGATGGATATTTTCTATAATTTGATTGTGGTAGTTACACATCTGTAAAATTCATAGCAGTACACTAAAAATGGACAGATTTTGCTGTATGTAAATTATACTTTTAAAAACCAGACCTAGATTAATTGTAAATGAATGAAAGTACACATTTTAAAAAACATGTGTGAAACATGAAAGTAAAGCATGTATTGTACTGAAATGAGCTTTAAATCCAACAAGGAAGACAAAGAAATGTATCTCTCTTTTTCAGAGCAGGGAATACCTAAATGTTGAGCCACGATTCAGAATACTGGGACTTCAAATGCTTGCTCTCATCTTTTCCCTGAGTTGTGCAAAAGACTGTCTTCTCTAGTGCCCCACCTAATCTTTTTCTAATAGAAGCAGCTTTTATACTGAGAACATTTTCTAATCCAGGCCTTTGGCATGATAAAGAATTTAGTGCTTTTGAAGGTGATATAAGATCTTTTTGAGTCACTTTTTCTTCCAAATGTCAAGATGTTCAGGCAAGGGAGTATATACAAAGAATAAAAAAGATGGGATTCAAGTTGCTGGAGACAGCATGCCTTGAATAGGATGTAGAACTAAGGGGCTGACCAGGGGTTCACACAGACTCCCATGGCACTTTTTGTAGGCACAGGTGTGCAGGTCTTCAGATTCTGGACAGGTTCCAATTTGAGCAATTATGTTCCTTCTCCCTAAGAACCCCCTACTGTTTCTGGTGGATACAGAATTCTTATTCACTTCCTGTACTAAACTGATGTGGAGAGTTGCTGTGCAGCTGTTAAACAGCTGCCACATTTCTCTCCATATATAGTCTCTAAAGCACTTTTGGATGAAAGGCGCTATATAAACATATTTTATTGTCATGTATTGGCTGCCTTTCCACTTAGTAGTAGGTTTTGTGAGGTTCTAACTATCAAATCCAGATCTGTATTCCACAGCACATCAATGTTTAATTTCTTCTCCTTCCTACCCCCCAACTTCCCTTAAACAATAAGACTCTTACCACAAGAGTCCGTAGACAAAGAGTCCCTGCAGGAGCACGGGGGTCCAAAGCAGCTACAAGATCCCACACTTTAATTTTCCTAAAGATCAAAAAGGGGACAAAAATCTTAATTAAAAGCAAAATTAAGGGAGCACAGGAAGAATAGCAAAACGTCATGGCAATAAATATGTATGGTGAATATAGTTTATATAATAAATGCAGCTCACAGGAATATATAAAAACTTTTTTGTTTTGGAGACTTGGTTCTTATATTCATTCTTGGTCTTAACAGGGGAAAATATATGTAGTTAACCTAAAAACAAGAAACAGGTTAGCTTTAACCAAACTGATGAAGACAGTGAATGGCAAAGCTACACTATACTTTGGGGCTAAGAGAAGATCTTATACATTGTTAGGCCTCTTAGTAACATAAGAGATCACTTAAACCTATAAACCTGTAACTCTGAAGCATCTTCGCTTTGGTCAGTTCTAAGAATGGCCCAGGTCACATGTACCAGAGGACTGGGGTCCATTTAAGAGTTCTGGAATTTATATTAAGAATACTTATATTTTGATTTAAGTAAGAAAAGTTTAGCCCTTCTAAACTTTTAATTATAGGTCATGTTTCCTCATGATAAATGACCCATAAAACCCAAGAAAGGTGGATACAGATCAAAACCCTGGGAATGAGAAAATGTAACCTTGGACCTAGCTGGAACATGTCATCACATCCTGAACAATTTCTCAAGGGTATGAGAGTGATGGTTGACTCAAAGCAGAAGTAGTAGGTCTGCTACACTTCCTGCTGCTTGAATTGTCTTAACATATCAGTATAGTCAGTTCATACACTAAGATAATGTTAAGTTAGTTTCTGATATTTAAAAAGCTGCCAATATTTGAACTGTAGCTTTGTACCCTGACAAGAAGAAATGATAAAGAGGTCTTCATAAGTGAATATACTTTTATAAGAATTTACTATGTGCTTAGCATTGCTAAACATGGGATCCATCCATAGGAATGGATTCTATATTCACCGGAAATTGGACTGAATAAAATAAAAATTACTGAACTCATTGTAACTGAAATGCTAGAAGAAGCAAAGACAAAGGAACTGCACTTTTGGAAACATTCAAAGATATCAAAATTTAAGATCCTACCACATTAAGCCCCACAGATATTGCCCTCCAATGTTTTAGTTTTATAGTAAGTCACTATTTTATATGCATATCCTGTTATTCTGGATTTGTCCAATTCTTTGCTTTATAGGGAAAACCGGAAAAATACATAACCAAAATCCCAAATATCAATAACAATCATGAGCAAAAAAGTGCAATTAAATAATTGGGAAGAATATTTTTGAAAGAGTAAACAAAGGAGAGGTGAATACATAAATTAGACACAAGAACTACTGTACTGGGTCCTTTCTGTGAAATCTATAATCTTTTAGACACAAGGAGAGGCTATATTTAACATCCTAAGGCAGGAGAGATTAAGATGTAGATACAAACTCACCCATCATAGGCCCCACTGACTATCCTCTTATTATCAAATCGAATACAGCGCACCAATTCCTCATGGCCTTCTAACACTCGTAAACATGCACCACATTCTATGTCCCATAATCTGGAAAAGAAAACTGAGTCAAGTGAATTTTCATATATTCATTCCTAAGCTTGGAATGTTATAATAATATACTTCAATGTCTTTAAAAAAGTCCCCAAAATAAATCAACACCCATGCAAAAATGTACTGCTTTCGATGTAATTTATTTCCTTTCTGCCATCTAACTCAGGTAGAAAAATATATAATTTAAGTTCAAACATAGTATATATTTTCAATGCTTTATATAATTTTGTAACCAGGGTCTTCAAGGCATAAAAAGGATGACTTCAATGGACACAGTTGCCTGTGAAGGAAATGACCAAGCCAAGAAAGACAATGCTTCCTGAAATCACCAATAAGAACGAGATGAAGAATGTCAGTGACATCCTGACCTCACCTCTTTCCTGAGGACACTCTCTGCTTTTCTCTTTCCTGAGGACACTCTCTGCTTTCACCCATTGCAGGATAGTCTTTCTCATTTAATGGAAACACAAAAGAAGTTCTCAAAAACTTTTATATGCTAATATACAAAAACTGTATGCTTTCAGACCAATCCAGATGACTTCTAGGAATGATAATTTCATCCTCTTAGTGCTTTGAAGGAATTGAGAGGATTGATAAATCATCCAAATACAATTTAAAGATGAATTTGCTCATCTTTGTGACGGGAAAACACCAAAAATACTTCCATTAGTGGATTCATTATAATTTCAGACTGGTAACTCCCTAGTCAATTATGCAATACTAAGAAAATAAAATGCACACTTGCTAGTAGGGAAACAAATCTTGTTTCTTTTTTTTAGACCATGGGCAGAGAGAAATGGCCTTTAGCTATTTATTAGCCCTTTCCAACTGTAGACAGGTGAAATTTAAAGAGAAGGGCTTTCAACCTCAATCTGCGTATCTCTCTTGCCCACTTCCTCATTCAAGCAGTACCTTTTAAATAGGTCTATCTGGTGATAAAACTATTACAGGAAGGAAATACATCGACAAAAGGATTTGCTGTGCTGCCTCTCTGCTTGGGGCAAACTTTTGACCTGCGAGAAGCTACAGAAAGAAAAAACATTTTATAATAAACATAACATAGTTGAAGATTTGTTTGAACTGTGCACAAACAATGAATGGTAGGAAATAATGATCCCTTCTAGACAAGGCACCCGCTGCTCACCTGATAGTGTTGTCAGATGAACCACTAACGACCAGTCTGTCTCTGTACTGCAAACAGGCAATGCCACGTTTGTGTCCATTTAAGGTCCTCACAAATTCACAAGTACTAGTGTTCCATACCTGAAACAGAATTTGGCATTTGGCAGTTGATTTGGCGCTCTCACTAGTAATATCTACGGCAAGTGGAGTCCTGGAGAGGCAAGGACTAAACCAAGTTATCAAGCCAAACCAAATCAATGACAAGTTTGATTCATGGTAATATAGGGCTAATTTGTAGCTCGTTGCTATCACATAGGATTTCTCAAATTGATTTACTGTATGGTGTTAGTCTGGTCTTATAGACAAATTTTCTTGAACCTAAATTTACTCCTGCCCTTCTTACACTCACCATTACTTATAGTAATAAAATACCTAACCAAAATTGTCACATAACTTGTCTCATTTATTACCATTACTTAAATATTTAATTAGTCTACAGTGATGTTTTAATATGAAATAGCCCTTGATCAGATTTTCACATGAAATCCCCTACTCTTAAGTCGGAAACTTACCTTTATAGTCCTATCTCCAGATGCAGAAACAATGTACTTGTCATCAAAGTCTACAACATTGACGGCAGCTCGGTGTCCGACTAGCACCCTCCGGAGGGTGATGTCAGTTGGGGAGGCCATATCCCATACAGCAATGGAACGGTCTTTGGAGCAGGTCACCATCATGCCATTATTGAAACGCAAGTGGAGAACTGCTTCACAATGATGAATCAACGTGTTTAGCATTTCACCTGTATTTACATCCCACACCCTGGAACAAACATCATTAAGAAGGCTATCTGAGATTTTGAAGGTACTGATGCTACAATGTACTACCAGTATTTGACCACTGTGCTTCCCACCCTCCCACCCCACTTTCATACTAGTACTATACCCTACTCTTCTGCATTTTTGAAGTTGAACAGAGGTAAAGAATACTGATGGATCACAGGGAAGTGGTAGATAGAGGGCTGGAATGGGAGAGTGGGAAAAGCAAGAAGAAAGGATGCTGCCAATGTGAAATGCTTAAAGACACACTACTTCAAATGTGGGCATGTGTAGGGAGTAGGAATGAGGTAGCAGCCACCATAACCTACTAATTGGGCCCAGATCTCAAGATTATTATAAAACTTCAGAAATTCAATCTGATACCATTAATAAGATACATTTAAAACTGGGGATCTGATTAATAACAGCAGCATTAGTGTCCTATGGATAGCCCTCAGGAACTAGAACTGATATAGGCCAAGAAGCTTCCATAACAGACTGATTTAATGCTATGGATTTGATCTTGATGTCTTTGAATCTTAGATTTCACCACACAGGTCAAGGCCCAAGATTACTTAGACCCTAAGTCTAAGGCTCCACTTCTGAGCTTTGAATGGGGATTGGGATCAAGAAGGGCCATCAACTGTAAACATGGACTTCACAGTAGAGAATAGGACCCTTAGCTAGCTTGAGAATTTTATGTGATGAGATATAGTATTTGACTTTAATACTCTTATTTTTGTATATTTACTTTGGTTTTTATAACACAAGTTATTCCTTTTTCCAGATTAACCCCCTTTTTCAGAAAATCATTTTTTCCCTTATCCTATAAATGATGTTAGTCAGCCTCTACGTTTCAGCTTCCTTGAGGCATTTCACATGAACCAATAAATGTTAAATGTCGATAACTAAGAACTGAGTTTGCTATGCCTTTAAGTCAAAAGACAAGAAACAAGAACAGTCTTTTCTATTCACAGAGGATAACTGAGAATGGTAAACATTTAACTTCAGAGAATCTAACAATGCAGTTAACTGCTTTCCCCCCACTATTTTTAAAAAAGTTACTTCTGATGCATTATGTTTGCTAAATCCTTTAGCTTAAGGCAAAATTTCTAACAGAGGTTTCCAGCAGTGCTTCTGGTACCCAGAACTCAAGCTACACTGGACTCCAGCAGCATAATGACTGTGTCATCAAATTACTAATGCCTCTGGAAATTGAAGGCCCCTCCCTGAGTGAAGCTTGCAATTAAAAACTGCAGGGACAGCAGGGGAGGGGCTGGCAAAGAGAGAGCATTTCTCACCTGTACACATTTTAAAGGAGATAACACATGCCTACACTACAGTTATAACCCCCTGAAAGGAAGGTTTCATTTCATTCATGTCATTCCCTTGTGAGGTGGTTTTTGTAAGGAATGCAAGGTTTACCAAGTTTCTGTAATGGATGATTCTAGCAAATTAAAACAGAAAGTGTAGTTTCTCAAATGTATAAAAATGTAAACTTACCTTAATCATTCCTAATTCAAGTTTTTAGTTCTAGATTAACACAACGGTGGGGGGAGCTGATGGTTTCTTCTTCTTTAGTTATGAAGTTTTAGAACTGTGCTCATGCAGATATACACAGAATTACTATATATGACAAAGACAGAGTGGATCTGATAATTGAGTTCAAAAAGTCGTTTGAAATTTTCTACCTGACTGTAGAATCCGATGATCCAGTTATAATCACCCTCTCGTCATACTGGAGACATAGGACAGAACCCGTGTGGCCTGTGAGAATTCTCTTGCATTCCAATGTGCTTTTATCCCAGATCTACGAGGGCAAACAAGATCCTTTTGATCACTGTGATAATGGGGTGCTGCAGAGACTTGCTGGCTCTATTATGTGTTTGATACCCTCAAAGAATCAAAGCTCAGAGTAGTGTGGAATGCATTCTTTTCTCTAGGTATAGCTAAGCACCTACATATATGTGGCTTCAGTACTAATGCAGACTTTATCCTTTTCATTAAGGAACAGGGGTAGCCTATAATTATGTGAGGGCTAAGAGTAATAGCTCATTCAGTGAACGTCAAGAAGAGAATTTAACAATCCATTTATATGCTCTTCTTGGGGGAAGCAGGTATCTGTCCTTTAAGGAACTGATTTTGGCTTTGGGACTAGAAACAACCTTAAATGCTCACTTACTTCCTGGAAATAATACTTAGAATTTATGCTTTGGATTGTTTTATGAATGTGGTCACCCTAGCTTCTTCAGCTACTTTCCCACACCTGAAGAAATCTCACCTTGATAGTGTTGTCTCGAAGGCCGCTTACTATCTTCTGATCATCATACTGCAGACAGTAAACTCCTTTGCTGGTTTCACTTCGGCAGTGGATTCTCTGTAAACTATGTCTACCACATCTCCAATTAGATTCTATTGTCTGAGAAGAAGGAATGGTAAAGAGGCAGTAATTAGGAAGGGAACAGAACTAAACACTTATCTAACTTTCATGCAACCAATGACAAATGCTCAATGCTTCACTCTATTGGCTATTTAAAACTTAAGGCAAACTAAAAATATGTTTTCTCTCTCTCTGTCTTTCCCCCTCCCTTCCACTTTCTCAATGGAAAAATATCCTCGGATGAGGATTAACAAACAAACAAACAAACAACAGCCACTATTTAAAATTATAAAACATTTTTTCATTTGTAAAGTAATTAAAGATTATTTTTTAGAACTCTTCATATAATTCATTCAATTAAATAATAAACCTGGTGGAAAGAGACTGCTCACTGAGAGAAGACAATCTATGAGCCACATGAAGGTATGTGCTCAGTGGGCTTCCTACATGATGGTCATTTCTACCAGTGAATCTCCATGGAGGCTCCATTGAGAAGATATCTGAATATCAGGTTAAGAGTGCAGTCTCACTGATATTATATGAAGACATCATAATCTCTCTCTCTCATCTATCTATCTATCTATCCATCTATCCATCTATCTATCAGTAAATAACTTTTATTTTATTTTTATTTTTTTTAATATATTTTATTGATTTTTTACAGAGAGGAAGGGAGAGAGATGGAGAGTTAGAAACATCGATGAGAGAGAAACATCGATCAGCTGCCTCCTGCACATCTCCCACTGGGGATGTGCCCACAACCCAGGTACATGCCCTTGACCGGAATCGAACCTGGGACCTTTCAGTCCGCAGGCCGACACTCTATCCACTGAGCCAAACCGGTTTCGGCAGTAAATAACTTTTAAACACAAATCTTTGCCTGGCAATTTACTATATTTTACCGACTCTATTCTCTTACAAAGAAATTGATTTTTAACTCACATCAATAAACCTTAATGGGTTTGCTGTAACAATGCTGTTACTGAAGAATGTTGATGATTCTCTAGTATTTGGCAAATACCTAAATATACATAGATTCTTACCTCAATGTCTTGTATAATTTTAGGATAAAGTGCTCTATAAAAAGAGTTGGGAGGAGCATTCCCATCAGGAGGTTTGTTTTTGAATAAATACTGTCCCCTAAAAAAACACAAATATTTCATAATAAAAATCACAATATTATGCATTCACAAGGAGCTTCATATTTCTTCAAAGCGTTTTGACAACTATCATTCCAAATAGTCTCCATAACTAGCCTGGAGAGGAGTGAAGTTAAGTCTGGTTTCAGGAGTCCCACATCAAGGAGTAACTTTCTGGGCTCTAAGGAACTGGGCCAATATCGATTTGCTTTTGGGTAAAACATGATGATTTCCAGTGTAGAACATCGAGTATCAGGCCTTCTGGAATATTATAATGTCAATACTTAAATGAAATACATATAACCAGAATCCAACTATTGTTCTATTAGACCTCTGGATAGACAGAATTATTGGCCTTATCTTTTGAAAATTTTATTCATGACGATATCTATGTACTACCTTTGAACTGCTAGGCACATGTCCCACAGCCTTTTTTTCACTGAGTAAAGCTGTGCTAGTCAGTGGAGCCTCGCATCATGGGCAGTAGGAACACCTCTGTCATAGAGAACACTTTTTTTTGTCTTCATTTATGGGGTTAAGGTTTGTTGGCAACTCAGGCACCCTGGTGATCAGTGTAGCTATGCTTGAAAGGAGCAATTCAGTTCATTTGCACAGAAAACAAAGGGATCACAGGAGTGTTCAGAGCAGGTATGGAAGAAGATGAAAAGAAATGCCTACAAGCACTGTGCTGTCAAGTCTAAAGCATGAAATTGACTTTCACAGGTGTGTTCCTGGCTATGTACATACATACACGCATTTTACTGCCTTTCCTTGATTCCAGTGAGCAACATTTGTTAGCATCTCCTTCCTTATGACAGCACATCTTTGGAATGCTCATATCCCAAGCTAGATCTTTGCTACAAAAAAAAATCAGTAAATGGCAATCACTTCCTGCTGGGTAAAAAATTTAATTCCTTATCCTGAAGTTAAGAACCCACCAAACACGGTGTGGAAGCTAGTAAACCCCACTATGGGTGTACTAACTGCTGTTCTCACTGGCACTGTGCCTTGCGAAGTGGAGATAGGCAGAAATGCCTCTGAGTGTAATCCTGGCACTAGAGAAATCATGTGTTCTCTGGGCCAGTCATCTACTCCTCCCTCTATAGCTCCATTACAATATAATTAATTGTTCAATGTCTCTAGGAGCGCTTCTCTCCTGCCCTCTTCCTATTATACACCTTGAAAATTAGTTGAGAAAATTTCCTATCAGAAAGGTAGCCGCTGGCTCTGACTTCTGTGTTAATACGGAAAGGGAAATCTGCAGTGGAGATACTAAAAAATAGTTTTAAAAAAGGGACAAATAGGAACAAACAATAGGATACACCAACATAAAGGGCAAACAAGATACACTGAAATAATTCTGGCTTTAAAAAGTTAAAACTCTTCTCTAAACAATCTTATTCTAGCAACACACTGCAGACAAACAATAGATTCTGAATGAAGAAATTCTAAATCTGGTTAATAATTATAATCTAATTATTTCGACTGAAACATCCTTTAATGAGGTAGGAGTCACTACATTAATTTTACAGATAAAGAAATCAAACATCAGGGAGGTTAAGAAACTTGCCCAAGGTCACATAGCTAGTGAGTAGAGCTGAGGTTTGAATCTAAGTCTGATTTCAGATCCCATACTCTGAAATACTTTATTGTCTCTCAATGTCCACCATTCTTCAGAGATTCCTGTCCTCTTTTTAATCTCTGCAATTATACACAGGCATCCCAGGATTTCTTCATAATGAATGAAACTATTTCTACATCCTAAGGAAAGAGAAATTATATAAACCTGTGATTATTTTCTACTGCACCATAGTTACCATGGCTTGCTAAAGTATCTGAATTTCTTCAAATCAGAGGTGCTACAAAAAAGGGTGTCTAGGTATTTAAAACTGGTTTCTCAGTCTATAAGTCAAAATCTTTTAGATGGAAGCTCTTTGACAATAGGGGACATTTCTATATGAAATTCCTAGTACCTCTGAGAGTGTGAGTACATGCTAAATGCTAAATATTAAATTCAGAATGTTTTCATAAAATGTGACCTGCTAATTAAGAAAATAGACTTTCCCCAAGTTGTCTTTTATCATACTTTTAAGAGTTACCATTACTGAGCAGAGAGAGCACATTCAGTATTATTCAAGAGAGAAGATGGAGTTCACATAGGGTCAGACTATCAAATTCATTTAGATATAAATTACAACAGCAAAGTAGAAGTTAAACCCAAAGCTTTATTAGAAAACTGTATTTATTTATTTATTTTTGGTTGGATGAAATGGGCAAAACTATCAATGACAGCATTTGGGGGACTTGATTGACATAGTAGGCTTGGTAAGATAACTTAAAGAATAAAATGAATAACTGACCATACACTAAAAATTTTTTTTAAGTGGGGGAAGAATACTAACACAGGAAGAAAGGCAACATGTAAAAATAGAAGCAGCCACAGAAAGTCAAGGTGATACTGGAAGTGGAAAAAAACTTGTAATTTCATGGGGCTACATTAAGTTAAGATGACAAATGTGGACAAAGACAAAGGAATATAATAGTCAGAACTCGGAAGGGTATTCAAAAGTGCAGGAGTGGGTTCCTATGGTTGAAGAGATAGGGGAAAGAGTGATCATTACAGTTGGATCCTGGATTATTTTTCAGTTATACCTTCACACACCCCTTTTAAAAAGCCCCAAAGCCATTTCTTCAATGATCTTATATTTTTTCCTGTATAACTAACATAACAGATCTTGCTGTTTAGTGCCAACTCTGAGCAAAATTGTGAAGACTGTGTTGATTTTTGGCATTTTTACATGCATCTGCTCAAATCTGCCCATATACTTCTTGTTCTCACTATCTTAAAAAATAAAGACTGTGAACTCCCAATGTCTGATAAAGGTTCACTATCCTTTATAGTCCAAATGGGACCAAAGTGTGTTTTAACAGGGAACAAAACCTTTATGGCTATGGGGATGAATCTCTATAACGGAAATTTCAGGTCAGGAGTGATTTGGAGGAGAGTTTCTTTTCATTCCCTCCCCCCCTTGAGGGGCAGAGAAATAGTCCTTGCTGCCCTACAATGTTCCCATGTAAGCAACTGCCTGCTCTATTTCTAAGGTTGGTCTTGGCACGCTAAACAAAATGATGGACTTTGAATACCATCCAGCTACATACTATTTTGTTTTTTATACTATAAAGAATTTATTCCAAAGTATGAAATAAGTTATGAGATAAGGTTTCTATTTTTCTATATAGTGAAATAAATGAGGATAGAAAAAATATTTGGGGAAGGAGAAATAACAGTATGCTTTCATTTATGCAATTTTTACATAGCCAAACAATTGCCTGGCATTTTCTCCCCTTAACTGAATTTGAGAGAAATATTAAAGTCTTCCTAATAGCCAGAATGACAGAACTCTCTTGCAGTACTTGATATAAAATTTACAGGGCGTTCTGTTTATTACATACCAATTAATTTCAAAGATAAAAGGGAGCCAACTATATTATAATGAAAATTGCTAAGAAAAGCTGATCCTCCATTTTTAATTGTTTTGTATCTCTTTATGATCCAAGGTAAAAAACTGATAAAATTCATTGCTCAGAATAATACCAAGCACACATATGTCTGCTGATGCATATCTATCAACTAAAATATTTAATGTCACCTTTATTTTATAGAAATATTCATAGCTGACTTTCTTATAGTGACATTCTAGAGGTATCCTCTGAGAGCAAATTATATATAGAAGAATCTTTCAGAAGTTCTAACAAAATGGTACCATTACATTAACAAAACAACAAAACTGGTAAGTCTCAGACTGCTAACTATAAAATGCCTTAAAGAATTCAAGCTTAAGCAGTAAAATCTTGAAAAAATATGTCTTATGAAAAAAACCATTATTTATACCAAATTCCATTTTTCACTTTTCTGATGGCTATAGCTCTTATTTTAGTTGGGCATAAAAATAATTTTGATTACAAAGGCAATAAAACACCCCAGGCATGGGCTAAAGGCAAGAAATCTTCTAAAGGAGAAAATAATTATTTGTTCTGGATTGTTTTAGGGGAAAGCTGGATCTGATGGCTTCTACGTGATTCAAAGTCATCTACTTGCCTTATAAATTGCCCCTCAGCCCTTTTTCAGAATACTGTTTCTGCCCAGAGAACAGAATGCTTTAAAAAGGAAGGCTAGTCACGTTTTTTGTTATTTTCTGCAAAGCAGTATTAACACATTATAATGTCATTTATGTGTGATTGGTCAGAAGAAAAACTGCCTAGAACATGAACAACTATTCTACATTTTTTGCTATAAACCAGCAAAATCACTGTATTAAACGAGAATGGTCTCACTGGTTCCCGACAACGTTCCAATGACTGAGTGGCCAGGTCCTGAAGCTCTAATAGTAAAAAAGCTAAAAGGCTCACCATCCTCTTCGTTCTGCCAGGCCTCTCCACAGAGAATCTGTCCTGACCATTCTCTCGATGAGCTTTTTCCATAACATGCCATCAGATGTCACTCGGTACCATTCCTTGCACACAAGTTCAGCAGCACATAGTGATTTGGCATCCAGATAGGACAGAATGTTCTCAGCAATGTGATCCAAACCCCGAGCTTTTGGTGGGGGAAGGAGGCAAAGAAGAACATAGATGGTAAATGATTTTTTACAAAAGGTCTTTGAAACAAAACAGCATTTATTCTGTTATGAAGGCACATCACTGTCCCTAGTGTGTCCAGTTTCTTTTTCAAACAGAAACTTAGGTCAAATGAGTGTCAATAATTTTTCCATAAGGTTACAGAAATGAAGAGTATTTTCTATCTTCCTTTAGATAAGGAAGTTAAAGCTAACATCCAGCAAACCCCCCAAGACATTAAAAATAAAAAGGATTCCAGAAAACAATTCACATCTATCTGTATGGATTTCAGCACTAGGGGATGTTCTATGGATGGCATCTCAAACTCTGTGATTCAGACCCCCCCAAATCTCTATATTAGGTCCATTTCTCATTCTGTTTCTATTACTGCTGCAGTTCCAAAGCTGTTCAGTAAAAGAAATATCCTTTAAATGTACTGGGGGAGAGGCACTAAGTCAGAATGTGCTGGGCTATAGAATTTTGGGCATGCAGAAAGAAGAGAAGAAGGAAATACAGATTGGTATAGGAACATCCCAAGAGGAAAGACAGAAAGGAATGTTTAAGTTCAAGGATGAGTTTAATTTCAGATGTTTAAAAAAAACTATATTTGAGAATAGTTGCTGCTATAAAACCTAAATGACAGTACCAAAAAATGAAAATAATCCCAAACCAATAGATAACTTGGTTAGAATTTCAGAGACTATTTTGTAGGATGTACAGAGCAAAACACAGTGGAAGTAGATCTTGAGCTGAGTAAACTAGATGGCTTCCCAATTACACTTTTCTACCACTCAAATCTATACTGAGGCCTCAGAGGAACAGATCCTATAAAATAGGATGATCTCACTAATAAACCTTTTGGCTGCTGTGCTAATTCACAAGTGAGACAAAAACATTCAAAGTTCTTTCTCTTTACATGTTACATATCAAAGTTTGCTAAAGACTTAAATAGTACCGAAGGATTCCTTCAAACTTGACTCCCTTAGGCACAAACTTAAACAGAACAGAATACCATATTCCATCTTGTGCCTTTCCCCTGAATCATATGAAGACACACTTGGACGCCATTAGCAACAATCCAAATGTGTTTAAACATTATTGTAATTATAAAGATTGTATGGATATTATCTCACTTTTCAGAAGATTTAGAAAATAAGTGTCAAGTGGATCTTATTTGGCTAGGATCACATTCGTATATATATGTATATGTATTATTTTTAATCCTCATTTGAGGATATGTTCATTGATTTTAGAGACAGGAATAGGGGAGAAGGAGGGAGAATTAATGGGAAGGAGGGAGGAAGAGGGAGATGGAGGGGGAGGGGAAGACGGAGAGGGAGGGGGAAACAGAGGGAAAAGAGGAGAAGG